TCTATGAAATGTCCTTTCTATGAAATGTCCTTTCTATGAAATGTCCTTTCTATGAAATGTCCTTTCTATGAAATGTCCCAACACCGGTAAAATAAGTTCTTTCTTTCCATTGTGATTTTGGTTCAAATGTAATTGGAATTATTGTTTTATATTGATTCCGTTTTATTGTGATTGCCGTCTGACAGTGATTATTGTTCGAAAAATATTTCAATTGTTAAATTTTGATTTAATTGTAATTTTCTTATTGTGAATTTGGTTTTATTTTGATTTTCACCGCAGCTATTGATTTTCAGCAGTTAATTATGTTCACATGTCTTTCCTTTTAAATATAATAATTTTTTAATGTTTATGTTTATGTTTTGAACTTCGTTAAATTTGCAATTGTGAGTTTTTTCATTCTTAAATATTCTTTTATTGGGAGTCTTTCCTTTTAAATATAATAATTCTTTAATGTTTATGTTTTGATTGTGAACTTCGTTAAATTTGCAATTGTGAGTTTTTTCATTCTTAAATATTCTTTTATTAGGATTTTCTGAATTTTATTAGAAATGTTTTTTATCAGAATTTTAATGGTTTTAAATTGTAAATTAAGTTAAATCTTATAATTTATTTTTGTAAACCCAAGCTTTCTCCTTAAAATTCTACTCATTTTACTTTAAAAACCAAGCTAATAACATTCCCGTTGTTCTACCAAATCCTTAATTGAAATGTGAGGCAAATCGGTCAAGGAGTTCATGAGTTATGATCGGACATACGAACAAACGAATCATCAGATTATGAGTCTTAATGCATACTTGAAAATAATTTTTCTTCTAAAATGTCACAAGCGTTCCAATGGCCTAGATAGTGTAGCACGATGCTTACCTAGAAATTATTAAAAAAGTAAAAGTAAAAACGTAGGAAAAAATATAGGTGAAGGCGAGATATCAAGTCATTGCCCGACACATATTTACCTAATATTGATGTCCTTCAAATACTTCTAAATTTTTTATATTTAATTTGGGTTATGTTGTTTACACAAAAATGTACTTTTAAACGTGAAAATCAGAATCTATATTCAACAAATAATTTGTTGCACTAGCTGACATTTAGCTAAATGGCAACACTCCTCTTTTATTGGCGTTATTTTTTCTCAGAAATTTATTTGAAACAGAAAAAAACTCATAAATCGTTAAGGCTTGCTTAATAACACCCCCCCCCTCTCCCTTCTCCCCCAGTAAGAAAGAAGGGTATTATGAGTATAAGATAAGGTGCACTTTAAAAAGGAAATAGCCCTAAAACAAACTCTACTTTTATTTAAAAGATTAACAATTTAAATAGACTAAAGTCACAGTTTTAAGTAACTGTTCATCTTAAAGTAGCATGTCATATTCACAACAGTATCCTTTTAAACTATGTTTTTATTTCATGCATTATTTATGAAGTAACAAATTTTATTAAGAGTTGAATATTGAATATTTTTAATCGCAGTTCTATAAAACTGGTTTTCGGATTTAAGCGGCCGAGACAAAAAGTAACCTGTCAGAATTGAACACTTTACCAACTTAAAAACAACGATATCTTCCTAATTGTTACTCAGAGTAACGTTTATAGGGTCTCGTTGTGAATCGAACACGGTACCCTACACTCTACACTCTACACTCTCTACACTCTACACTCTACACTCTACACTCTACACTCTACACACTACATTCGAACAATCAACAAAAATTCTACACTGTCTTATATAAAAACTAACTGACTAAAAATGTTTTTATGAAGTGTAACTGTGGTCTGTGGGTAAAAGTAAGATAACCCTTTGCCCTAGAAGCTTTAAATTCTAAAGGTATATCAGTATTTTGCTGACGAGACACAAATAAAATACAAAACTCAGATTATGGATTAAATAATACAATATTTTCAACTGTTTCTATTTAAAGTGAAATCTAAATTTTTGTTTAGTTTTGATCAAATATATTGTTAAAAAGATACAAGGGAAACAAGCTGTATGCTGCTTAATGGAGATGAAAGGACTGTAAGCGTAATTTTAATTGACCCTCCATGCAAAGATGGCAATGTACGATTTACAACGGTACCCTTGAAAACTTTGTCTGATCAATTATTAAGTGAATATCCATGTTTTTGTGAATCTAAACTGTTTATTTTCGTTTGCATTTTTTCTGCAAAAAGTGACTTGCGCATTTCTTGCTTACAAGAATCAATGGAGAAATTTACTGAAATAAACACAGTTCAAGTCAAAAAAAAGGTCGGATTCTTTCACATTTTTATCAGATTTAAGTTTTAAGATTACCGTTGTAAATTTGGCAATGCTGGCTTTGCATGGAGGGTCATCTAAAATTGCACTTACAGTCCCTTTAAGAGAGAGCTAATCTCCCCACAATGCTTGATCTTGATGTCCTTGGTGGCATTTTTTAGACTTGAGGCAAAAGTGCTTGGACCTTTTGATCCAAGTCTTTGATATACCCTGGTCAGAACCTAGTAGAGATACATAAAAAACAAGATAAACAGAGCTAGACATTCTTGTTTTGTGATATGGGGATTAAAAATTGGCGTGGTGGCCATCCCTCCCTCTATTAAGTGATCAGCTGATTAGTATTAAACTAGCTTTTTTATCCATAAAAATAGTGGAAAACTGTAAAGAAAATATGCTTACAAGTGCTTTTGACTCTACATATATATTTCTATAAAAAATAAAAAATTCTGTTTGGTTTCTGTACCCCCTCCCC